CTCACTGCCACCTATCTCATAAATAGTCATCTTTAAAATTTACAAGTTCCGAACTCTCTTGGCCATCCTTATGCCATGTTTCACTGCCAATTGAATCTTCTCCACGTTAAACTCTAAGATTTTTGGGTCCACAACTTTTTTTTAGAACACTGTCTGAAATCAGAGTAAATTTGATCCCAGATCCATAAAGTGTATCTTCCTTGGGTACTCCACTCAAAAGGGGTATCAACGCCTTGACCCTATCAATAACAAAACCTATGTAAGTACTAATGTCTTTTTCTTTGAAAGTGTTATCTATTTTCCTAGCTTGACCCTAAGTGAGAGGGAGTTTGGGTTCTTAGGCACCGTCCCTTATCCCACTGTTATGGATGTTCCCCCAATTATTCTTTCCACCGAGGAGTCCGCTGTTCCGTTGAGTGCACCAGCCAGTTAGTCTCCTTTTTCGATGAGTGCAACATCTCCTCCTCCCACTCTCCGTGTCTACGCGCGGCTCACCGGTCCCAATGTTCCTACTCTGGAACCCACCACCTCTTTACAGGACCTCAACTTCATTTCAAGCGACATCCTCAGCATGACCACTCCAAATTAGATTAGTTCTCTAGTAAGGTATGCAATTAGACATGCTCCTCCAATTCTATTGCAAAATATCTCTCTTTCCATAGTTTGTAGCCGACCTTCAGAGCATTTGACACTAGGGCTGTCAAAAAAGCTCGTTGTTTGCGAACAGCTCATGTTTGGCCCGTTTGTTAGTAAACGAGTAAAAAACGAACAAATTTTTAAAGTTTGAATTATAAACGAGCCGAACACGAACGTCTCTTTGTTCGCTCGTATTCGGCTTGTTTTAGCTCGAATCAAAAAAAAATATATAATTATTTATATAATAATATATTACATATATTATTTATATAATAATATATTATATATATTTATATCTAAGTTTAAATCGTAATAGATGGTGTGCTAATGTAATTATGTGACTTTTTATCCATGCATTTGGTCTAGGTTCGAATTTAAAACTTTAAATCCATTTTTTTCAATTTAATTTTAACGAGTCAATTTCGAGCTGAACACGAGCCGAACGCAAACACGAATATTTAAATCGAGTCAGACATGAACAAATTGTTCACGAGCCGATTTCAAACACGAGCTGATTTCGAACACGAGCAGTTTCGAACGAGCCGAATACGAGCCCAGCCTGAGCTCGCTCAAGCTCGGCTCATTTACAGCCCTAAATTTGGTACTGCTCTGACGATTCATACTATTGAGATTGTTCTTGCTAATCCGACTTGGAAGATAACAGTAATGGAGGAGATGAATGCTCTTCTGCGGGACCATATGTGGGACGTCGTTGATCTTACTCGGGTTGAGAAAACTATAGGGTTTTGTTTGATTTTCAACACCAATTTCAACTCTGATGGATCCTTTGAACGTAACAAAGCATGATTGGTCACCAAAGGGTACTCTCAAACCTACGGAGTTGACTATGAGGAGACATTTGCTCCAGTGACTAATTTAAACACTATTCAGATCCCGTTGTCCTTTGTGGTGAATTTGAATTGACCTTTATTCTGGCTAGATGTCAAGGATGCATTCTTGAATGAAGAGTTTACAGAAGATGTATACATGTTTCTCCCTCCTGGTATTGACTCTGCTGTCTCTAGAGGCAATTGTACAGGCTGCGGAAGTCCCTCTATGGACTAAAACAATCCTTAAGGGCTTGGTTCTCCAAGTTCACAAAGGTGGTCGTGAGTCATGGTTTTACTCGGGCTCTATTAGATCATATTCTTTTCTTTCGACATTCTTTCAATAGCCAGATAACTATCTTTATTATCTATGTTGACGATATTGTTCTTACAGGTAACGATCTCCCAACATTGAAGTCTTTGAAAGATATCCTTGCCAAGTTCTTTGAAATGAAAGATTTGAGATCTCTTCAGTACTTCTTAGGCAGGAAAGTGACTAGGTCATCTGGGGGCATTTTCCTATTTCAACGTAAATATATGATTGATCTATTGGCTGAGAACAACCTTCTTCTGTGTTAGCCAGTGGCTATCCTTATAGATCCCAATAAAAAATTAGCTGACATTCACAATGTTATGCCTGTCAACAAGACTTATTACCAACGAATTCCAAACCCAAAGCCCCCAATTTTGAGCCAAATGTCGAAATCCATACCAAAATTCCAACAAGTTCAAAAATTCACCAAATTTGGTCTACACACCAATTCAAATATACCAAACCCAAATCAATTTTTCATGACAATTCCAAAACCCTTCAAGCCCATTGGCGAAGCCCAAAATCAATTTTCCTCAACTCATCCTAAAAGCCCAAAAATCAATTCCTTCAAAACATAATTAAAAGCCCATAAATTGAGCCCAATTTCAATTACCATTGATTTATTTTCATCATTCTTTTAATCAAAACCGTACACCATGGCCTCACATCATGCACCCATGCTTAAAACCCATCCATTTTTGGTCCCATGGCATCTCTCACCCAAATTTCAAAATCCCCAAATCCTTGTCTTATGAAAATAGTACATGGCCCCATGCATGTCATGAAACCACTCATGGGGGGCATCCATAAGCATCACATGGCTCATGCACCCCAAAATGGCAAAAGGAGGACCTTCACCTCCCACCAAAACGGCTTAAGCAAAACCCTAATCCCACCAGATACACGTTTCTCATGCCAAATCAATTGCCTAAGCCCCTAAAAGTTGACCCAACAACTCTAGCCACCTTGGAAATGACCCCAAGCCATTTCCATGTGGTTGAATCCATGGTTAACCCAAAATTATAAATTGACCCATATAAATATGACGGTACAACTTTACTCATATATATATATATATGTATATGTATACGTGTGTATGTATATATATATATATATACACACACGCAGGCACACGCGCGCACACACACACACACATATATATACAAATAGACACACACCCACATATTGAATCCAAGCTTATTCGTGAGTTGTACTGTGATACGGATGTAAGTAAATTTTTAGCTATTTATTGAGCTGATATTTGAAGCAATATTATTTTTTTTATTTTTTGAAATCTTTGAACTTTCCTGAGCAATTCCAGTGCCATTTTTCCTTGATAAAAGTTTTTTCTCACATTTCATTCTGAGTTTAGGTGCACTCATATTGAAAACTCTTTCAGGTTGAGTGCTCCCTCATGGCTGACATGGCAAAAGAGATTGTCCAAGCAAATGGATTTTCTAATGGTGATTTGATATGCCTATTCAACTAGTTGAAAATGCCTGAAACTTCTATAAATTCCAACAATCTGTTTCTGTTTTGCAGTTATAACGGTTCTAAAGGGAAAAATTGAAGAAGTTGATCTACCAGTCACTCATGTAGACGTCATCATTTCTGAATGGATGGGCTATTTCTTGCTGTTTGAGAACATGTTGAACACAGTTTTATATGCGCGGGACAAATGGCTTGTAAGTATTTTGGTAGACCTGTAGCTTTGCCTGTAGATTTTTGGCAATATTTTATCGTTGGTATTTGAAATCCTATTTAAAAAGCTGTTTACTATTACTTCTGGAACTTGAAATTCAAAAGTTGCATTGCTAAGATAAACATTATTCTTAGCTGATTGTCATATAGGTTGTTCATTGTTGACATTTGTAAGAAGCGATTAAGTTTTAATGATATTTGCAGTATGCATTTTAGTTAAGTGGCACAATTATTTTATGTGGACCTCTGATAGTTGTATTCATAGTTGTGATAGCTGGTGGGTTTAGGGCTATTAATGATGCGATTTCGAGCCGAGTTAGGGTCGGCTTAAAATCGGCTTAAAAAATTTGATCCAAAATTTTGGTCCATAGCTCGGCTTGTTTATTTCAATCCGATCTCAATCTGAGCCAAAATTCGAATAAATTTTCAAGCGATTAACATTCCTTGAGCTAACTTCTCTAAATTCACAGCCAGGGTTGATAATGATTCGATTTCAAGCTAAGCTGGGGTCGCCTTGAATTCGGCTCGAAAGAAATTTGATCCGATATTTTGGCTCATATCTTGACTCATTTTTTTCAATCCGAGCTAAAATTCAAATCAATTTTTTAGCAATTAACGATCTACGAGCTAAATTCACAATTCTAGTGGGTCTTTAAGGCATTTAATTATTTTGTGCAAAGGATTGTTCAGTTTCTACATTGGTAAAATTTTATAAAGTATGCTTTAGTTCCCCATAGGTATTAAACTCATCTTATAATAAATTGATAGTGCAAGTCCTTAGTAAGTATATCAACAACTAATGAACACAACCTAAAGTGGAAACACACAAACTACAACCAAATCATGAACAAAACAAAAGATATATTGGTTTAACTAACTTAGGGTGCGTTTGGGACGACAACTACATTTTGAAGGGGAAGCAGCTTCACAGCTGCTGTCAGAAAGCTACTGCTGGTGTAGCAGTCAGTTTGTTTGGATAATCTGTTGTGCTGCAGTTATTTTAGATGAAAAGGATAGTTATGCTCTCTTATAAATGTAAATTAGATGAATGACTGTAATTTTTAAAATAATTGTAATAGAATAACAAAACAGCTTTAACGGTATAGAAAACACAGTTCAAAATTTTTTAATATATCAATTGTAAGTCACCTCTTTATGCTAATATCACAATAATAAAACTATAAAAATAAGTTATGTTATAAAAACATTTACATATTTTTTCAGACGGTCATGTCTTCGAGATAATTTTATGTCTTTGAAGGGCGTGCATTTTGCATTAATATAATAACAAAAAAGGTTACAAAGAAAAGTAAACAAAAGCATGAGAAGGTCAATACCCATCAACAACAAAAATGGGTGACTCTCATCTAAGCTATAGACCAAAAGATCACTCTCAAAAGCAGAGTGAGCACAAAAGTTGGCCGTTGGATTGTTAAGTTAGAGTCCAAGGGCGTTTGTTACTGCCAATGACTTCTTGTCCATGGAATGCTGGAGAAGCTTAATAACGTTAGCGTTGTCTCCTTCCATAACATTCCACGTCTCGAACATCTATGGTGAATAATGTTGGGATAATTTTCTGCCCGTAACATCTTTTTTTATCTGATCACTATTTTGGAATGAAATCCTCTATATCATCAACCCATCGAAAAACCTGCAATCTTCACATGCCCTATTTATGAGATAATGGTAAAATCTCATCTCATAGTTACATTCTCTGCTTGATGTGTATTTCGAACACTACGTACCACAATGACAGTACATAACTCTTGAAGTACTTGATGACCTTGAACTCATTTTCTTGGAGATTATAATACACTATGCTTTTAATTGATAAATTAGACTACATATGCAATAGAATAATAAAAAAATATTAGGGTTCATAATCGGAAATAAAACACATGAGGAAAAATATGCATCTATAAAGTTATAAATTGAAAATTTAAAATATCATAACATGGAAGAGAAAATAGACATTAACCAATCATTAATACATCTTTAATAGTAAACATCAATCATAAGATACTAGGAAATATTAATTAGATATATTTGATGAATTTACTAAAGCATCAGCAATGCCTTCTCTCAATTGGATTATTTCTCCTCATCAGATGTGTTGAAGTCATTCACAACAAAGTCTTTCTCGAACAATGATTGTTCTGCCCTATGTTCAAATGCTTCTATAAGTATGCATGTTGGATTTTGATCTAAGGTCTTGAAATCAATATCGTTCGAGATGGATGTCTCCGTATAGAATTATGTAGATTTGCAACAACTAACTTTATCTATTTTTTAAAGGAATATGTCGGCATAACTCGGAGTATGATCCACTTGCTTTTTCATACGTTGAATACTCTTTTGATAACTCTCTGAGTGTATTTTGTTGAACATTTCATTCCTCCCCCTTGCCTTTGATCGTTTGGCTGCGATGCTTAAAATCAATGTGATACTTCATGTTGTGGAAGAACTTTATGAAATCTCTTTGCATGTAATATCCCCAATCAACGAGGTAATATTCTCAGAATAATAATGTTATCAGTGCATCTCTTCAAATTTAACACTTCATATACAATTATGAATGGATTAATCGGGCAGAGGCATTGAAAATTTGTATTCACATTGTTTAGTAGGAAAATTAAATATGCGACTAATAAATACTCCCTTTCCATTATGTCATTAAGAATGTAAAACACATGTTGAAGTCACAAACTGCTAAGATACTCTGTAATACAGACCCACAGATTCTAATATATGCAATCTTATCATTACGTGCATCACCATGTCTGTCATCAATTACTTCTAAATAATTTTATTTAAAATATTAATGAAAATAATTATATTTTATAAAACATGAATGCAAATTAAATAAATAAATCAATATCTTGAAGAATGATATGTATCTTATATATTTATAGATTTCTCTTGGCATATGTCCAAAAGCTGGATTTATGGGTTTGACGATGTTGCTTGACAACTCAAAAGTCAACCCTTATATTGAAATTTATGCGAATTATCTTTGTTGAATGAAGGAATTGCTCGGAAGCAGCACAACTTGACTCATTATGCGACATAATATATAAAATAATGACTAGTACTTCCCTTGGTGTAAATTAGGACTATCCATACAAGTAATAATTATTTTAAAATTCATCTAGTAGATCACAAAAAATGGGACATTTGCTTACATACCATTAATTCTTATGTATGTATATATATATAGCAGTCAGTTT